ACACTACGTCCATTTATATATACAGTCTATGGTTTATATATATATCTATGGGTACAACGCTACATTTCCCGCCCCGCCGCAGTCATACAGTAGGCTACGGAGAGCGGCGAAAAACATTTCCTCAGGCATCGAAAAGCGGAACCGAAATTCACATTTATAAATGATGCCGTTGGAATCGAAATGTTGGAACCGGTTCCGAACCGGAACCGGTTCTCGATACCCAACCCTACTACCTGGTAATAAACCTGTTTCTGATTCTAAATAATGGGGACAAGCAGCTAATGCTTTGCTACAGCCAGGTGATAAAAACACTACCAACCAAAGACATCTTTATATCACCATACTAATTCAATTTCAAGTGGCTTAAAAGTTCCTTTCTATCAAGCAATACAAATCAAGATATACCTCGAGCTTTTCTGCCTGGTCCATTAAGACAAGGTAGGTAATGGAAATACCAACAGAAAGATTGAACAACTTTGAGCCGTTCCATTGTTATTGCCTTGTTCTAGCATTGGCACCGTAAAATAAACATTCTATCACTCCCCCTCAGAAATAAAATGTAACGTGGGATTTTAGGTGGAAATGAAAGAGCTGATTTAACAACACATGACAGTTCAAACTGATAGTATCCACAATTCATTATTTAGCAGGAGGAAGGAGACTTAGGCCATTCATAAATAATAAGCCACCTCGTTTCCGGGATTTAAGAAAGAAATTGCAAACCAATGCGTTTGAACATGATCAATTATCAATGAATGAGACAGGACAAAAAAGCATTACAAATCTGTAACAAATTAAGCTTAGCGCAAGTTCAACCAGGAAGACCGTCTTTACTCATTCATTCACATATTCCCATGTTACTACTCTCTCTCCTCTCAATCAGTGATCGGGGGCGTCACTCCCCAGCTAAACCTATCACTTTGCCTCTATTCCCACAAGCCTATGCATTGCTAAACCTTTAAATCTGCTCTCTCCCCTTCCTCACAGTTGTCATTTCAGATGACTTAACGCAGGCCTCCTCCACCCCTTCCACCTTCCCTTCTTCCAAATTTAGGGTCAAGATAAACCACTCCTTTTCAGACCGACAACCATCGATCCCTTCAAGCCTCCACCACCACCAGTGTCTAGACCCCAGGGGGATTCATCGGTTCGGTTTTTCCCCTCCCGAACGGGGTCTAATCGCCAAACATCATTACATGCATCTGTGTATTCCTGGCAATAAATATATATCGTTATATCAAAAGAAAACCTGTCTCTCCTGATTGAAGTAGACATTTTCACCTTTGGAAACACATCAATATTCACTATTTGAGCGGGATACTGTTTAAGAGAAAGGAAGACTAAGCCTTTAGTTTGATGTCTCATTGATGATACAGGTCCAAGGGCCTCATTTATAAAGCGATATACGCTCAAAAAATGGCGTACGCGAGTTTCTACGCAATGTTTGCGATTTATAAAATACTAACTTGATGGGAAAACGTGCGGTCCTCCGCGCAAACTCTAACCCATGCGTACGCACTAATCACAACAACGGGAGAGACGAGAAACTGCGACACCGTTGGCAGAAGGAAGAATGGAGAGAAAATATGTGGAAATAATACCATCAATAAAATGTTACCTCTCATTTATCATATATGAAGAATTCATTTTCAAACATTGATTAAAGCCAATCTTAAAATGATTAAACAAATGCCTGTTTGAGACTCCTCAGTGCACACAAAAACATAACTTGGAGAAATAAATAAATACGGATATGTTATTTAAAACCACCTTGAATATGTTGTGTTAATGTTATGAAATGTTTTCTCATAAATGATGCGGTAAGCAGGAGGACAGAATTACGTCTAAACTGACGCCGTGTTGCATTTCTATAGGTTGTAGATACGAGCATGGTTTTATATACTATTACGTTTAATCGTGTTTTATGCCGTTTGCCAAGACTTGATAAGTCGCTCGTAAAACACAGGAGGTATGGAAGCTAAGAACACCATATGTGGTAAATTGTACAGCTGATATAACACAACACATAAGTTGTATTTCCTTTAACTGGTGGATATAGGGTTGCTGCAGGGGGGGGGGGGGGTTGAGATGCACAGGCTGCAGTGGAGACGCTGCTGTCATGACTCCACTCCGGAGGGATTCCCCGATCACTTCTTACAGTCTCTCATCAAGGGGGGGTCACCTGTCCCCGGTACACACACACTGCCTGAGGAAGGCTATGTGTATTGTTTTTGTCATTAACCTTTTTCGGGCCATTTATTTATTTATTTTGGTGACGATCCGACCTCCATGCTGCTACTCTGGTTCAAACTGCATCCACCAAACAATATGATTTATCTCCACCTCCCCAAAATAACCCACATCTGACACGGTGTGAGATGTATTTTTTAACTGTTCTGTCGTCATTTCCTGCGATCTTCTTCATAAAGTCAGTCAGAATGAATGAAGGAATGGGCGTTTCTTTGACTATTTATAGGCAAATATGGGCGTTACGTGAAGCCCGCAAAAGCTGCACCGCATTTCGAGTCGGTTGTGATTTATAAAGGGAAACCGGCGTAGGAAGTGCCATACGCACTTTCCTTGCCGGTACGCAATGTTTGGTGAATCGGGAAGTGGCGGAAAATGTATGGACCTATTTTTCGGATTTCTACTACGTAAGCAACCTTCCCACGTGAATCCTACGCACGGCGTTATACATGAGGCCCCAGGTCTGTAGTGAACAAAAGAGCAAGAAAGTCAATAGCATCTACTTCATTTACATACTCTAATTGAACCTAAAATCGTCCCAGACATTGATTCCCTCTACAATGTGAAGAATAATCTTTTATAATTGGGACTGGGAGCAAGAATAGCGACCATAGCACTTTTGGAGTTTGTGACTTACACACAAACTTATTGACCCCAGTCCTTTGGGTGGCCTCTGTGGATTGCCAATCTCATTCTATGATTACTTTGTCCACATTTATTACAATATCTCACTAATAATTAAACTCTATTGAAGTGAATTATTATTTAATTTAAAACAAACAGTACTACTATGACAATTATATGAAAAAGTCCATTTATATCCATGTAAATAGATTCACTGAATGAGGAGAAACGGCAAGGTAATTGGGTACTGCAGTCATATGCATTAATGTGTAGCAGTGCAGTAAGAGCTAAAAACTTGATTAAAGAAATTGGCATCTAGTTTAATGGCAGTAAATTAGTGCCGTTAGCAAACAGCTTCCACAATGTTTTACGGTGAGAAGGTTTAGTGGCCCAATGAAAGAAACAATCCACAAACCCTTTGAACCAACATCAGGAAACATAGCAACTGTATTGACAGATGCTGGGGTTATCTAAATATTTTTTTCCTGTATGATTCTGTACAGGCACATTTTTACACAGGTCAAAAATGTCATTAAGAGTTTCATAAAAATCTATGAAAAAAGGTTTTAAATTGTAATATATTTAGCAAATGAACTTTTCCTAAACAAGTATGTTTGAGACAACAATGCTCAATGACAAAGTCACCCAACAAGGAAAACCATGTTTTCAGGCGCTCAAAGCTAGACAGGAACAGGAAATTAAAATCCGGGTGAAAGAGCAGCTGTGTTAGCTACTCATTCATAACAGTGATGACAATCAGAAAGTCTACAGTTTGAACGGAGACCTTCAGAGTGTTGATTATAACATTGAGGTGATTGATAGAAGGGACAAGCTTACTGACTGATAACAGCACTTGAAGAAATAATTTGGCTGATTTTTTTCCAGGATGATGAGCCAGTTAAGTCAAGGAGGTTTACTATCATCTATTTTACATGGCAGGTGCAAAAAGTTCACTTTAAACAGGGATTACCCATAAAAGGTATGTTTATAAAATGTTTTCTGTTCCTGAAATAGCTAGACTAAAGCAAAGAAGACATTTTTAAGGAGATGTTTATGTGTTTTACTTCTGGTTTACTCTTGTATTTGTATGTCTTAATTTATACAGAAAGTAGACTAACAGTGATACAGAGTGTGAATGATAGGAAGAGAAAGATGTTAGGATCCCAAACTAGCAGGGATAATTAATATCATGTATCAACTTGAACCAAAATGTATCAGTCTGCCTAAGACAAATCAATGAGTGCAAGCAAGTGCCTAGTTGCCACCATGTGATCAAGTTAAAAGGAAATGATTCCCTACGCAGTGTCAATAGAAAGAAAACAACAACTCAAATTCAAAGCTCAGGACACCGCTTCCTATGCCTACATCCTGCTGTAATGAAAAGAATATGTGCTACACAGCACACAGAAGAGCAATACAAGGACAAGCTTTAGTGACCTCAGCTGATGAAAACCAAATCCCCATTTGATTTAAAGAAAATCCCTAAATCTGAAGAGGATTTTTGGAAGGCAATTATAAGTGTTTCTCTAATGCTGGTAAATTGCAATAAAAAGAAATTGGTTCCCTTGTGGACATATTGTAATCTTTTCAATAACAATGAAATCCCCTGAAATCACCAGAGTAATCGTTTCTCTCTTCAGTCCTATGAACCATGACGATATAGACTAGAGGGACGCTCAGGCAGTGCACCTGTGTTCATGGGGAAGAGGTTTTTCATGGATTGTGGAGTAAGTTGTATTTCCTGCTGTGCCATTTCTATTATTCTGTTGATCCACCTCTGAGGGCAAATATTAACAATAACTGTAAGAACTATTGTTTGCTGTAGATGGTATTAACAACAGGAATTGCTTATATCCTTGTTTTCTATCTGAGCTTGTGTGCAAAAGGCCAAACAAACAGTTGGATGTAACGGTGCTTAAAGATAATTAAAGTGCCAAAAAAGGTAATTTAGTGACCCAAGCATAATTTATTAATGTTTGCGTATCTTTTATGTGGACTCCAAACAATACTGTTAAACAAAACCAAAACAGGCTTTACTGTTTTGAAAAACTGGCTACCAATGATGCAGGGTACACTGTGTATTTACAGACAGCTTACTGGTGTCCTTTTATAATGTGTTGTATGGTTACCTTGCAGCCTGGAAGTTAACAACCAGCTCGTCCAATAAACGGTTGGTTCTTAGATCTTGCTCTGTTGCTTGCTGAAAGGAGAAGAAGAAGCAAGTAAATAAGGATTTGTCTCATTTATCAAATTCATACAACTAATTACAAGTGATTATCTGTAATCTTTCATCAAGGGAACGACCATGATGACTATGCAAATGTATTTGAGGCATAATAATTACGCATCCAAGTCAAGTTCATACTTACTGCATTGCAAACAGGACACTGCATCTTATAGCAAAGACATTTCCTGATGCATAAGGAGCAAACTGTAAAATGAAATGTAAAAATACAGTGCGTTAAGAATTAGTCCGTTAGACATCAGGTAGAGAATGTATTTACTTTAATCAAAAGTTGGTATTTAGTGACAATTCTTGTTATACAATATAATGCATCTGTAGGGCACAATTGTATTCAATACTCATAAGAGGAGGGTCTAGTGTGGTTTTATCATAGCTGCTCATTTGAGTACCTCCAGCCAAATAGTGCTCTCATATTTGACAGAATGCTAAATTCTAGAATAAAAAGGCATGTACATTCTAAGCATCTATGTGCAAGCAAAGATACACCCATTTAAAATAAACTTGAACCATTTAAAATCTTCAAAAAGTCAGTCAATGGTCTTACATTCATGTTCTCAGTGGTTTGCTTCTTATCATAGTACCATAGCTACAACTTTGTACTTACAGTTGTGAGAGCATTTCGTCATCATTGAAATGTTGAGAAAGTCAAAGCAAATAGGACACCGAAGAAGGGCATCCACATTCTGCAGATAAGAAAAACTACAGGGATCAGCACAACTATTAGCAAACTGGAAACAACCCGATAATAGCTTTTTTTTTTTTTTTAAATGTTTCACATGTAGGTAGGCCCTTACGCAGCGTCCACACGGCGGCGTGCGTTGAAGCTTGCCGGCGGGCGTGTCTGAAACTCGACCAACAACCAATCACATGAATCCCCCGCCCCGGACACACAAGCATGCGGTTTGATTGGCTAGAGCTTGTACTGGCATATGATTTGATTGGCTGACGCTTCCGTCGAAGCTTCAAAAGTTGAACATTGCTCAACTTTTGAAGCGAGCAGGCGAGCAAAGCGAAGCGACGGAACCACAATGCAGTTCGGCAAAGCGAGACATCACCCCATTCAAAGTGAATGGGCAGAAGCGTTGAAGCTTCAACGCACGCCGCTGTGTGGACGGGCCGTTACCCCTTGATTCCACCGGGTCTGTCTGCGTCGCGTCACGGCTGCGCCGCGGTTTTGGTCCGGCCTCCTCCGGCGTCATACCCTACCGGGCGCGTTTCAGAAGCATTTCAGAAGCGGAGCATCTTGCCTGCCGGCTCGCAGTTTTTGTTGATTTAGGCATATTTCCTGCAAAGGCTACTTTGTACAGACAAAGTTAATAATAATTGTAATATCCCAGTTATAAACGACACAAATCAAAGATGTGTTGCTGTATTTTAGTGGTAAAAAAATGCATTCATCAACATAATTATTCTATATATATAATTTACACAGTGCCTGTAAACCGGAGAACGCTGGCATTTCTCCTCCTACTTGAAAGACTACTGAGGGATAGGGTCTGCAAAATGTGTTTATTTTGAGGATGGCCCGGATGCTGTCACCGTTCCACTTCCTGCCCGGCGCCTCTGCAACGCCTCGCGTTAGAGTGGATTCCTGGTATTTCTCTGTAGTGCTAAACATTAGTTTATGAACCAAAGTTAGTGACGTACAAGCGTTACTTAGTGACGTACAAGCGTTACTTACAATAGGTTAAAGGTATCATACACACAGATCTTCAGGACCAAGACCAACTGCAAGAAGCGTCTGACCTCTGTCTGTCCAACAAGGGTTTCTCCACCAAGTACTAAGACATGTTTTGCAAGGATCAAATACTTATTTCCCACAGTTAAATGCATATCAAAAATTGTATATTTTATATAAATGTCAATTTCTGGATTTTATTTTTGATATTCTTACTCTCACTGATAAAATAAACCTACCATTACAATTATAGACTGTTAATTTATTTGTAAGTGAGCAAACTTACAACATCTGCAAGGGATCAAATTATATTTATATTATTTCGTCCACTGTATGTCAGTGAGCGCCTGGTCAAACAGACAAAGCCCATCAAAGGTCCCATCAAAAGGAAAAACCTCCCTCTATTCAGCCAGCCTCCAGTCCGAGAGAAGTCCAGGTCCCAACAACAGCTCTCATCTCTGAAGAATGACTGTTCTCTAGGCTGTACATTGTATCTGAGATACGTGATTTTTGGGATTAATTATGTGAAATATAATAAACTTGAAAACCAGATCTGAGTACTTCTTCCACCTACAACAGCTAACCTACACCTTTTGTGAGGGGTCGTATTTCATATTGTAAGCTACAGCCGAAATAAAATACATCTAATTTACTAAATATGACCCAATACCTAACGTTAAGCACATTTAGGTAATCCTTTGGTTTGTTTCGTTTTTACGTAAACGTAACCTGAGTTGAAGTTAAAACAGATCGGACAGTCTGGATGGAAAGGGTTCGTTCATGGTCAATATTAACGTTAGTTACTAAACATTAAACGTGACGTTACTTCAGTGGCATTTTTCAAATTACAAATCTGTTACAGTATTAAAGCGAACATTGTATGGCCAACGTAGCTAATGTTATTAGCCCATGTTAAGTTAGCAAATATGTTTAGCTAATTGTAGGTACAATAAGTGGGTGTATAGAAGTTATATGTGTTTTGTATTTGAAATGCTTCAGAATTGTAACGCCAATCGATAGTTATCGTCCGTTTAAGTTCATATGATGAGGGTTTCATTAAGCTTTTACAGCTAACGGCCATGTAAGCAAAAGGTTTGTAAATAAACATACGACTTACTTTCAGACATGCAACTCCAGGTGGTAAATCTGCTTCAACATGTAGGGCCATGTCTGGTAAACTGAAAGAAACAGCTATTTAAGAAATGCACAAAACTTTTAGTTTTAGTGTTACGATTATAAATCTGAAATCAAAGTCCCGCTGGCGCCTCTTCCTGCGTCATATGACGACTTCCGCTGTGAGGCGGTGGATTCGAAAAATGTAATAGTGAAAACATAAATCAATTATAAAAACATATAAATATACAGTGGTATAAAGTAACGAAGTAGATTTACTCAGGTAATGTACTTAAGTAAAATGTTGAGGTACTTGTACTTTACTTGAGTATTTACCAGTCTATGGTATTTACATGTTATGCTACTTTGTACTAGGCCTAGGCCTACTCCACTACAATTCAGAGGTAAATTGTGTACTTTTACTCCACTACATTTATTGAATACCTTTAGTTACTTTACATACTTGGATTAATGATGTGAAATATAATCAATACTTAAATAAGACTTTAGTTACACCTGGAGTAAATTCACAAGCTACCCTGCAGCATACAAAATCATTACAACTACTGTATCATACCTTTACAACACCAACACTTAATGTATTTATTATATTCAAAACATATAATATAAATTATTCTGAAATTGGCCAATCTACATAATGAGTACTTTTACTTTTGTTACTTTAAGTTTGTTTAGATGTTAGTTGAGTAAAATGTTTGATTGCGGGACTTTCACCAATAACAGAGTTACACTGAAGTAGGCCTACTTCTACTTTTACTTAAGTACAAGATCTGAGTACTTTTCCCAGCTCTGTAAATATATACTCTCAGCCAGTCATCATGTAAGCTACATTAGAGAAGAGTAGCCTTTAACGCCAACATTTATATTGAATTTAAAAAGTGTTGGTATTTCTCTGAATTTCAGAGATATATGTTTTACACTACTGACACTGAAACCTCGTTTGTTTGATGAATTGTTCAAAGTTAGTCTATATGTAGCTTTTTCTCTACAGGAAATACATGGATTGGTCATAGAATTAAACATGTTTGATTTTGTGATGAATTGTTACCTTGCAGTAGGCAACTGTCTGAATCACCAATCTTTTGTATATTAACATGATACACTGCAGTTTCCCTAATATGGCTTTTGTAGCCTGTCACCATTTCCCTTGTGTGTGTTTTTTTCTATACATAATAAATTACTCCATTTTATGTATTATGATCAAAATGATGTGTAGCTCATTGAGGAAACTGAAGAAAAAGCACAGACAATATGTTGTGAGTACCTTAAGGTCTGTGTCGAATTGAGGAAAGATAGCATTAGACTACATTTGACTAGATGGGGTCCAAAACTAGCAAGCCACATGAATGTTTGGGAGCAAATGAATTGTATAGGCTACAAAAATGTGGCCAGGATCTGTTGAATTTTCAGAATATTGGGTTGCAGATTAGTATTTTCCAAAGGGGGCTTCGTTTTGCATGAAACACTTGAAATAACTAAAGGATAAGTTAAAAAAGAAAGTAGAAAGAAAGTGAGGTCAAAGAAAAATATTTCTGCTAAAAAGTTAGCAATGATTGAGAGTCAGCACTTTGTTGCTTTGTTGTTTTTTAAAGCCTTGTGTTGAAAGGTGCTATATAAATATACTTGCCTTGCCTTGCCTAGACAAAACCTTACCAGATGTTTGTTTTCCTCCTTTAAATCTCTGTTGATTCTAACCATGACACCAACCAGGAAATCTAAGAGTGGAAAATGGGTATTCCAGAACAACTGTCTTACTTCTGGTGCCTCTTCCGCGACAGCCTTGCTACTGTTCATTCAGCTGACCAGGAGACGAAGTTATCCTGGATGACACATTTAAGTATATAATACAAATAATAACAAGTATTATTTGTATTATTATTATTGCAGTGTATGGCTTTGACAGATGTTTCCAGGTCGTCATAGCTACTAATGGGAACATCTCTCTCCACATACTCTATGGGCCTCATGGAATATTTGTAACATCTTGCCCCTGAACTGGAAAATGCTTAGCAGGCTGAGCCTCGCTAACACTGAGCACATAGTGTTTTCTTTGAAAGCCTTTCACACCAGTGAGCTGTCACCATGAGCTTACTAAAACTATCACATATCTTACTCTCATTATCCCTTGTGCTATTAGTTCTGTATATTTACTCTGTGCCATGATTGTATTTCACATTAGGTTTCAAACTTGGCAGTTTTTGCCTATACCCTGGATTAATCAAGATTAGCCTTGACATTAAAGTTCAATTGAGTCTAAAGTGTTCTGACAAACATTTTATTCTCAGATTATTATTAAAGTGCTAATATATCTTCTTTACCAACAGAAATAACAGAATGGCTCCTATTTCACAAAATAACATAAAATAGAGTCATCTTAAACAGCAAAGAAATACAAATGCTTGAAAGATAGTTATGAGCCCCAAGATAATACGATGACCTAAGTCCTAAAAGGTAAAGATACGAGTATATTCCAAATGTAAGGCGACAGCTTTTGGCTTGTGGTGATTACAGTTCTCTATACAAACACATGTATTGTCATTGCATATGTACAATGACAATCAGGGGACACTTTAGTTTACATTTGTATTTTAGCCTTTAACATAGAAACAAAATGTATAAACAGAAACCCTGTCGAGATGGCAATGACTTGCCATCTTCAGATACAGAACACTCTTCCCTGGGTTGCACTGCATCAATATATGTTGTTGTAATGTAAGTTGTTGTACGTTTATGTAAGTGTTCCTCTGATATTCTACTAAATATAGAGATGTTGCTGTTTCTTTAAAACCAGGGAACAATTAATTATCCTGCAAATGTATTTATGTTGGACTATGTCACATGTATACTTGGATGTGATTATTAAGTCACATGAATATCCAGAGGCATTTATGTGCAATAATTAGATTTCTCCTGGTGGTTTGGAGGAGGCAACCCTCAGAGCATTTGGCCAGTTAAATAATTTCATGGTGTTTCCAAAGCATTAACCACTCTTTCCATACTGTACCTTGCAGGTGAGAATGAGACCACTTTCAGAGTTGTTTGGTCTTTATCATAGAAAGTATAACAGAAAATGACATACATTTATAATAGGCTGCTGTCTGTTATCATATGTTGTTGTTTTTTTGGAGAAAATATATAACAAAATATATTTTCACTATATATATCTATTTATATTTATTTATTATTTCACTATATTTTCAATATATTTATTTTTGATTTTTTTTGTGACCAGTCAGACACATTGGACTAATGTCCAATGTGTCTGACTGGTCTGACATTAATTTCTTGCATTTTAATAAATGCAAGAAATTAATGTTCAAAATGGTAGTCTCACAAAGCTAGACCCATCTCCACGGCGCTGTGTTAGCAGGATATTGAAAATGCCAAGGCCAATCTGTCCTCTCTGTTTCAATTGATCGTGTTGTGTCTGATTAATTGAGTCATTTCAGCCAAGATTATATGCAGCTGTGCTATGTCCAGATTTAGTTTTTCTCCTGATTGAAGTCTTTATTTTTTCCAACGACTCCTTCAGGTCTGTGTTTTTGATTAGGTGTTTTACATTCCATCTCCTCGTTTATTGTTTTTATTAAATCACAAAGGGCATGGCCCATGCTTTGAATTCTTTAATCAATAAATGCTTGAACTGAACTGTTTTAAAAGACCCCAGAATATGAACTACTGAAATACTGACGAAGAATATAAATAACACTGGCAGATGAATAGGGCATAATGGACATAAAATCTGGTTTGTCTGAGATGATTTCAGCTGGAGTTTGACCAACCGCTGTCCTCTTTCAGCACTTTGCTGAGACATTCTGATGGGTTTGAAAAATTGGAATGTTTAATCAGTGGATGCTCAGCCAAATCGTAATTATATGCTTGAATTAACAAGATGACATGATGTACCGAATGCCTGTGAGACTCTCTGTTAGAGGTTGCCATGAATTATATAGCAGATTAAAGATAAACACATTATCAGGTATTGTTCTTGTGGTCTATTTCAGTTTGAGCTTTTAAATGTGTTTTTTTTTAATGCCGAGTTGTATTACTGATTGTGTGTGTTTAAGGATTATTGACAGTATATTAAAAATGTTGTGATATTTTATTAGACTTAAACTGTCCTGAGTTTTTATTTTTTCTTTGCTACTCAGAGCTTCTTTTTAGAGTTTCTCTTCACATTGAGAAAACAGTATCATTAAAGATCAAGCATATGTTTAGTCAGGGAATGAGTTTGCACCATTATTTAAAAAAACAAAAAAACATTCAAGGTAATTTATTGAAAGGTGGTCAATTTGAGGGAGCCAGACTACAGTCAAATATAAAAAAAACCTTTAAAGGTCACCTATCATGCTATTTTTAGGCAATAGCATAGGTCTCAGATATATAAAAAAAATATAAAAAACATGTCTATGAAGTGTTTTGCTCAAAATACCAAACGAATCACCCATTCTAGCCATGCCTCATATCCATCCATTTCACTTCCTGTTTCAAAAGTGCTGATTTGGGGTAAAGTAAAGCTTTAAGATTTTTTTTGATAAAAAGTAAAAAGGAGGGGGCTGAGCTCATGCGGGAGATTCTACCCCCAGATACTGCGGTGATGAAACGCCATATCATGGATTATCAAGGATTATTTCTGAAACAGTATGGAGCTCAAAGGCCTTTTCTCCTGCCGGTTATACCACAAGGTGAGTTCCTTTTTATTTCCTGCTTCTTCACACACATGCTCTCTCCAGTACAGGTTGGCCCTGAGTGTTAGCGATGCTAATGTAAACATGCGCCTACCATATTACGTCCAAAACAGTCGGGCATTGTTTCTGATAGCAACGATTCTGGTAGGGCTGTGGGTGTAAAGCCAGCCTACATTTCCGATATTACGTCATATCGGACGCAAATCTGGATCAGCTCCGTTGTAGCCCCATTTTTAGAGATTTGGGTACGGAGGAAATGAGAGAGGGTTTTATTTTCTGATGCTGCGTGAGTTCCCCGACACACCGGGGACACATATTTATGTCTAAAAGACATAAAAAGTGCATTTTGCATGATAGGTCCCCTTTAAGACCTACTGTACCTTATTCTTAAAAGTTAATAACATTTATATTTACAAATATGAGATCTTGTTTCTTTCAGGACATGGGTTATGAATTCT